ATAGAATCGGCACACAGGTACACCAACCTCCCTCTTGGAACCGGCTTGTGTGCTACTGCTGAGTGACAAGAAGTGGACGGTTGAGCTGAACATTCCGTTAAATTAGATCGAGATAAGCAGACTTATTGTAAGCAACGGTGGCGACGGACTGGAAGCTAAGAACACTGAAAAAAGAAGTTCAAAGAAATAACAAAGACAAAAAAAGAAACCAAACCTGGAAATGGAAACAAGTGAAAGCAACCCATAGAGAGACATACAGGGTGCGCCATAAATATGGTAACAACTTTTCCGACGTTCCCAAATTCCTTGTTTGGAGGGTTTCTCCAAATCTACACTTCCCAAATGTTTACGATATACCTCAGACTACATATCTACTTTGGTGCTCTCAACTCGTAAGATTTCAAAAAACGGTGGAGCCTCGCAGACATCCACCGGCCGTTCCGTCTTTGCGCGCATTTGGTGAGTCCCTTCCCGGAACGCTGATCGTTTCAACAATCTCCCCACTGACAGTCTCTTGAATGCGTGAACAGGTCGGGGCAAACCTCGAGACGATCGTCTTGCCTCATATACAACCCCTTTCCGAATAAAATTACTTGGAAAGGAGTACGGTGCAAAACCTGCCGAAATACGAGGAAAATGACAGCTGATTTGTTTGTAGGTTCTATTCCGATGAGAATAGTCTACCCCTAGTAAATACAATTGTATCCAGATGAGTTTCGAAAGGCCTATGTGATTCTTGACGAGAAGAAGTTGGAGAGAAAAAACAAACGCCGTGCGCTGCGCTTGGCACGCGCTTTGACAAACCTTTTCTTGACTAAAAGGTGTTAGCGTGGAAAAAATGTTGAGACCCTAAAGTATACATGCATTTCACATTTCGAGTGCTGAAGCCGCTGAGAAGAGTCAGATCGCCTTCCGTAGCCATTTTCCCTCTTTGATGATAGTTTTTGCTAGAAATTCTGCCATCAGAGCGGTATCGCAAATTTTGGTCGAAAAAAAGTACAAAATTTAATCCAAAACTCTTTAGGAAGGGTCCTTATGAAAGGATGCAGCTGAGGGTCAAAGATTTTTTAGGAATACAATCTGAAAATTACGGCACACCTGCTTGCGAATGGGAAAAGACTAAGACTGGTGCTGAGGCAATGTTCGCGACTTTATCCCAGCTTCCGGTCCTCCTACAAATTTCTCGGACTACAATGTGATGGGCCGCTGGACACGGTCCATACTGGAGAGAAAGGCCTGCGCTTCAAACCGCACCACAGTTGCTGTTGCTGAGAAATCGGTGAAAAAAACCCGGGCTGGAGTTTTCCAAGAAGCTCTGCGTGCCACCGTCGATGAGTAGCCGAAGCGTCTTCTAGCTATAATTAGTACAGGAGACGGTTATATTCAATCACTGTGTGTTCGTTTTGTAGATGCCATGCATGCAGTAAAGTAGCCACATGAATTCACCATTTATCAATATAAACTGCTGTTTTTGTAACCCAATTCTTTTGGTAATTCTTTTGGTATTTATGGCGCACCGTGTAGAAGAAAAGATAGGTGCATGAAACAAGGCTCAGAAACAAACAAAGTTTGTTTTGATGAACAACGAGTGAATAGGAAAAATTCTCAGCGCTGAAAAAGGAAGCTAACGATCTGCAATATCAAGAATAGAGAGAAAGTCCATTTGGTCAAGTCTTTTCTTTAAATTCGGAATATTTTTAGCTTCCAGAATGGTAGGTGGAAGCATCTGCAACCATCTGGCATCTGCGGAAGAAAAGCGAGTTGAGGTAACTGCAATTCCTCACATATTGGAGGGGAAGTTCAGTGTTTCGATTGCTGCATGATTGCTGCAATCGAAACACTGAACTTTGCTGCTGCAAGATTTAAAGATCCAGTACTTGCTAAGTTTGATCTTTAACTCGCCCCTCAGAAGCTTCAAACAAAAAACTAGATCGTTGAAAACGAGTCTACAAAGGCTTTCCACACCAAAGCTCTTTAACCTTTCCTTATATGCTGGTAAAGAAGTATTACCGAAATTGGATGCTTTCCTATGCGATAAATTCCTTGCAAATGCTTGTTGCACCTTCAATCTGCATTTAATACTTACGCATACCGGGCTCCACACCTGGGATCCGTACTCCAAGTTGGGGATGACGTAGCCCCTGTACAGTTCAAGTAAAACGAGCAGTCATTGCTCTGTACACTGCAGATTGCAAAAAGTACAGAGAACGCCTTGTGAATTGCATTCCCTATATGTTATTCGAGGGTAAGATCAGAGTTCACGAAACTCCTAGATCACGTACTTCACTAGCTTTATTGAGAAAATAGCTACCAGACTTATATTTATAGTATTCATCTGTCTTACCAATATGTAGAACAGTTGTTTTGGATAGACTGACAGGTATATTCCAGACCGAGGCCCACTCCATCATGTTGGAAACGGACTGGAAAAAAAGCACAAATTACCTCATCTTGTTTTTCAACATTATATACGCCATAAATTTTGATATCATCCGCGTACATGCGTACTCCAATTGAATGATGAGGTGCCTCCGGCAAATCATGAGTATACACTAGAAATAGAAGTGGCGGTAACATATCCCCCTAGGGAACGCCGCTTTTACACGTGCATTTGGGGGAGAAAGCGTTTCCGATTTTGACGCACGTTGTGATAATGGGAGCAGATGCACCGTAAGAATGCTTTAATACCTAGCTGCTGCAGTTTCAATAACAGTTTACGATGAACGACGCTCTCAAACGCTTTAGACAAGTAAAAATAAACAACGTCCACTGAATTCCCAATGTTAAGCCATCCAATGATTCTGTCACGGATGATCATCTTCAACACTCCAACTGAATATGATACAATGCTAGTAGGACGAAAAGCCGAAAGAAGAAAAAAATCACTGTTTTCTGGGATAGCTGTTATAGTGGATTCCTTTCACAACGAATGAACTTCGGGAACAGCCGCGGCATTGAAGACCATAGTTAGTGGATTCAAAAAGGAGTAAGCACATTCTCGTAGACGATTTGTGGAATACCATCAGAATTGCTCGACACAGTAGAGGAGAAAAAACATACATAAGGTGCGAACAACTGTAGACGTCACTGACTTTGCTTTTAGCGGAATCTGCTACAGCACAAGCACCTTGCTCACAATTATGTGAATATTGCTGGGTTGCAGCCAAATAGTGTCGAATATTGTTGAATATACCCTAGTTAATTTATTAAAATTTCACGCGATTTGCTTCACTGATAAAAAAGCTATCAACGAAAAGCGTGAAAGCGTTGGCCAAAGACTTTCGAGCGTTACTGTACACACTGACAACGAGAACGATACTGTAGCAGGTAATCGATATTTCCTAGGTCCATTCGAAGTTACTAATTAACAATCAGGTTATGTACAAAGAATTTTGAATTTTCATACTCACTTAGCAAACAATATTGCACGCCCTGGGACTAATTAAAGGCAATATATTCGATTCTTCCTAGAATTACTATTACGTCACTCTCTATCAGAGGAAAAATTTTACTTGTGCATTTGGATATGAGAATACTTATCTAGAACATACTAACCTGATATACCATACAGCAGTGTTCATTGGCTGCTTTCATAGTCCGCCGGCCGGCGTGCCGGCGGAGGCAGTGCTAGAGGGGAGGAGGGAGGCAGACAGTGTAAGGCAAACAGTCCACGCCCCTTCGAAGGTTGTTTGTTTTCAACCCCTCGCAGGGGCGTGGACTGTTTGCCTATCTGTCTGCCTCCCTCCTCCCCGCTAGCACTGCCTCCACGCCGGCACGCCGGCGGACTATGAAAGCAGCCATTGAGAAACGTTGGTATTCAAGGGAATCGTAAAACGAAAGAGGTATGTCTTTATATTTTTGGAGTGACAACTAATAAGATTGAGCTAGCCCATACTTTCTTGTTTATAACAACACAATAGAATTAGGCAAACATGGAAATATAGGTGTGATGTTGGATGTAACAACCCTTCATGAAAAAACATAATATAACGGTAAAAACAGCTGCAGGAGCGAAACCCCTTCTCCACGAAACCTTTCTCCATAGGATTTAATAGCGTCTACGCTTCAGAATTCGATCCTCTGATTGTGAGACGTAAAGGGCAGCATTAAAAACGCTTGAACGCACGAGTGGTTACTCTTCTTCTGCATCACTAGTGCATCCTCGGTGAAAGAGTAGAGGGTAGATTAATTCAGGCTGTAGCCATTTTGCCTGAGGCTGAGCACCATGATGCGTTCGCTTTTCAGGCAGATTGACTGATCACATGCTCGAATGATTCACGTAGGCTAATCGCTGCCTAACTTACTACCTACTACCAGCCGGACCACGAATCCCATCCACCACACCGCATGATATGAAGGCGAAGATGGGCCAGCTACAACGGTATTTCATCACATGTGACTGCCTGGGAACAGACGCTTCCCCAAGGACAGCAATTTCATCTGCCTGAGATTTCGAAAAAGAAGCTTACCATCATGTACATGCACCATGATCCTACTTACTTAGAGTTATGTAAATATCCAGAAAATCCATTTTTTCCTGTGTTGCACTATTGAGATGCTTGTTCCAGTTGTTGAGGGCATGCTTCTTCAATTATACCATGGTTTCACCAGTACTTCTCACCCTTTTTATTATAGAATTTACATCTTTCGCCATAGTTTTCATTGGCTGTCAACTTATGGTCAAGGGTCATGAAAACTGAAGTGCGTTCACTGTTTCATTACTTTAGTGGGGTCCACAACAATGTGCATTTGATCTGTATAAAATGATTCACGACACTGAGGTTTCAAACATCATTGCTTCCGAACTCTGATAGAAGTGGCAATGCTAAAATGTCAACACTGTAGTATTTTGGTGTTTACATTACAAGCGCTTTTGATAGACACGTAGATGCTCTCACGTGCGCATTTTTTACAATCCAATCAAACAATGGACGGGATGGTGTAGCAACAGCTGGAACGCCCTGGTTCGCATTGAAGATCAACACTCGCCCACACCAGCCCTGCTGTTCATTTTCCCGAGATACACTGATGGGTACCAGATTCGTCTAGTAGGATGAAAGCGCTGGCTTGTACACCGGCTGGATACTGCAAGTCATTGTATTAACAGTACACACAATCCAAAGGCCACTACGATTTCGGATGGGAGTCGTATGCCTAGTCCTTGGTCCTTCAACTAGACGAACTGGAACGAACGGTGACATTGCTCAGCGAATCGATCACTAATGAGTTGTTATGTGATGCAACGGTTCTACGAATTACCTACAGATACACCTGTTTTCTACAAGAAGCGCGATTTCACTATGCGACCATTTATGCTTTCTAGCTTCCTTAAAGGATTGTCCTCAATCCTCCTTCCATACCTCCTCCTTCCGGATCCAATACAAAGGCAGTCGAACTATTTTCTTATGGTCTCTCTTTCTCGAAAATCGTGACTTGACTGGATAAGATGCAGCGTACTGTTGAACACTCCATACTTGAATACTGTCAGGAAAGATTTTGTGACTTCGCATTACTCTAAACTAGACATGAAGCTAAGGGAGACAGCTAGAACAAGGAAACGACTGAGTAGTAGATATCTTTTCTTGCCCCATTTGCCTACGTTGAATTTCATGTTAACATCAACACAGCTACTGCTTTCTTACAGGCCATTCATAATTTTTTCACTTCCGAAAAATAGCACGCTAGTTTGGTGACCAAATCCGAAAACTTCTGGCAGTGAGATGCGTCAATTGGTGGTTGACAGCTGCGCTTATGCACTTCGAGCATTTCCCATGAGTGTTTTTCGGCGAACTCAATAAGCAACTCAATATTCAGGAACCTATATGTTCCAGTAACTACTAAGTTTCGATGAACAGGGACGTTCACAAAACGCTTGGTTTAGCGAGCACCTCAAGCACATATCTACATTTGCAAAGCTCTACTAGGATATGCTGATGAACAAACACATCAACCACCCATTTTACCCGTCCCTTTGACGATATACAGACGTTCTTCTTTTTTGAGGTTCTGCCTGATGTTGAGTATGTGCATTTATAAAGTTAAAGTCACCGTTTGCTACATTTTGCGAAACAACGGTTTCGAATGGGTATCCAGTCAAGTCACGATTCCGACAGTTCTAGCCGCCAACAGTTCCACCTTTCAAAGAGAAATAAAAGGGCATAATGACCAACATGGTCAGAGTTCGATGGCCCAAAAGTAGCCAAAGCCCCCATAGTTGTCTTTCTAGCAATAAATACTCCGAACGAGTTGTGAAAGATGAAAAGTGAGGGTATTAGAATTTCAATTTCAAGCACATTGTTGAGCAGAAAGCTCTGGTTGGAGATGTTTACAGATAATTCCCTGGTTGCTTGTACAGCGGTATATCCGGATGTTTGAAAGGGCACTTTACTCATGGGTGGTTGCGATTCAGCTGCAGGCCTTTTTTTTTGTTTCCCCTTATCCAGTCCCATGCCCTTCAGAGTTTGTCCGCATTTTTGTGGAAACAGCAGGTCCTTTTTTCGAGAAATTCCACGTCATTGAGAAGCTACAGTTACAAAACAGAAGAAAACCACATGGCTCGTGATCGCAACGAGCATCACAGTATCAGCGTGCATTTACAGAACGATAGGGTGTTGACGAGAGAGGTCATACGTATCTGCAGCTGAAATTCTTTACCATGGGGTGACATGCACTTTTCTGAAGCTTTCTATGAACGGCAATGAGCAAACATTATCTATAGAGGAGTCACTATAAAGGGCTAGCTGGTCTAGTGATTGGCGCCACTCATCTTAAAGCTTCTTTTCTGCTAAGTGGTGGAAGTTGATCATTCTCCTGTATTTTCATCGCTTTCTTCAAGGCTTTTAATATATAGAAGGAAGGACAGTACTCAGACCTTTGATACATTTGTTACGGTCTGGTAAATGCTACAATGAAGAGAAAATGGCTACTTAACCTGCAGCTTGTAGCGAATTCGCCATCTATCAAGTTCACACCCCGATAGTTATAAATAATCCTTTTTTAGGTCTTTGAATTGTGATATTTTCGAAAAATGATATGAGTCCGGCTTCACCAAAAGCATTCATGCCTGGCAGCTCCGGTGGGAGATCAAAATTCAGCAGAATGAATTCAAAAATTTACGTCACCTACATGCTAAAGAAAGCGCGCGCGTGAATCGGTAACATATAAGGCTTTTTACAGTGTCGGCTTAATCGTATTGCTTTCTCAAATTCCTTAACGGCCTGAATTTCTTCTACAAAAGAAGTAGGGAGTTTTGACTAAACGATTCCGAGGCTGCGCAACATAATGACCATCCTTGGAAGGAGCATTTTGCAATGGCCTAACCGGAATCCTCTCTGGCACTGTAAGCACCTAGTAAGTATTGACTATCCTGAGGACCTAGCAAAATAGTCGGGTCTGTGATGTGAGCAAGGCAGTTTTGAAGGTCCCCTCCCTGACAAAAGAGGTATCACAGCGATTGAAGGTCTCAGTCACTTCAGAATTGATGGTTTCATATTAAGTAGAATCCGCATGTCTTTACGCATGCACTTCAGGTATCCCTTTTAAACTGTTCATATTCAGAATAATAGTCTCTATTCAACAATGTGGTTCTACTACTTCATTTGCCTATCTCTGATGCTGAACATCAATGATGGGATGGCTAGTAAAATCAAAACGCTGTTGGGCAAGCTCGGCACATTAATGGGGAGCGGAAACTTGGAAGTAAGTTGAGAGTGCAGTTATTCACTGCGCACAAACTGTTCTACGGTGTTTTCAGCGAGCGATTTAAAAGTTTTCAGCGATGCAAAGATCAATCACATGAAGACTGTCAAGATGCGAAAGCAACTGGCCTTTGCCAAGACCAGGCATGGAAAGATCAGATCAAGCAATTCTGCCCCAAAACATGTGGTTTTTGCGAGAAATAAATTGTATGAACTAGGCGAGACCTTGTCCAAGTGCGCAATGTCTTGATTCCGCTGTCTGATGCAAGATCAATAATAATAAATGGTTCATATATCATCAATGTTAGGAGTGTGAAGAGTAGAAAGATTGTAAACAAGTAGTACTGTTTACCGACAGTTGTGCTGCCGAGGTGATCGGACTTATTTTCAAGTTCTGCAAGATTGTCGGGTCATGGGCAGAACTTCGACCACGGACCAAGTTTGAACTAAAGTTACCAAGTTTTGCCTGTGCTTCCCTCGCACTGTTCTGCTTGTCGCTCAACCTACCGGAACCAGAGCAAACGTCAACCTCTTTGACTTCATCTTAGCAATATAAAAGATATTAACAATACTCTTGCGGATCGGCTGCTCTCTGCTCTCGAAATTGTTACACACGATATGCAAAATAAAGCTTGATTCATAGTGAAAGCCATGCTAGACAAGCGAGACTTCGCGAAGTGCTCACCTTTCAGTCATACCCATCTATGCTTATGGTTCCGAAGCTAATGGGATGGTCATAAAAATAAAAGCTGTACCATCACCTGTCCAGTTGGTTCATTAATCTCGAATAGACTCGAACAGTGTTTTCACACGATCCTGTCCTCCTTATTACCAGTTTAGTCTCGCGGGCCTTTGTCCGACAGCACCTTGATATTCCAATTTACAGGTAGTTCGGAATTGCGATTTTCTCTCTACACCTTAGGTTATTTCGAAAACATCTAGCATGGTCATTCTCCAGAGCCTTCGATAACGCCAACAATTCAGGTAGGTTAATCAAAAAGCATCAGTTAATACCGTATCAAAACACTCTCCGAATTGGGATGGCTCATACAGTAATTTGTAGAAGAAAGAGGTAATCCGTTGAATACAATTTTTAACGCATGCTGACAGAATGTACGCGAATCACACCCATTCCATTCAATACACGATTTAGCATGGTTTATACAGTGATTACTTGACATAATGAATTCCATTTTTCATGTTCACTATTTCTAATGGTAAATTAGAGTTTTTTGCTTCTAATGAAAAGAGAGATAACTCCGCACATCACAGCTCATAATCCAGCCAACATTCAATTCCAACCTCTACTAAAATGACAGTTCTACGTAAATGTTCTGCATAGTAAACCTATGCTAGTATGAAATTTGTTATCCATCTTTCAAAAAAGGGTTTACGTTTGCCTCTTGAGCATTGGTCTACTGGAAGTGCCATAAGGAACAATCCTTCATATAAAATGGATAATAAAAAGGAGTACCACGATTATGCAAGTGTGAGGGCTTGTGACTAATATTTGAATGTTATGATTTTATTTGTGTACAATGACGATTAAGTGATGTGGACTACATGGGAATGAAAATATGTGGGATTGACTACTAGAAAAGTTCAAGGAGAAATAAGAAAGCACCTATATTACAAATCATAAAAAGAATGCTCTATCGTATCATCCTTAAGATTCTCTAACTTTAAACAATCAAGATTAATTCCACGGTAATGATAAGCTATACTTTAGGTAAGGCATTATTTGAGTCATACTTTTGATAACACGCTCTTCGGCCTAACGAAGAACACGATCATAAAACCGACATATTGTCATGAACATGAACATGTTCAAAGTCAGTCTTCCCCTTTTTCAAGTCAAAATCGCTAAACAAAAAAACTAAGAGCAGGGATAACAAAAAGAGTAAAAAGACTATAACACTCAAAGGTGACTTCCCAAGAGAATCAAGCTGTGGAATGATGCTTCTCGTTCATTCTAGACTTTCCGTCGCTCCAGTTTTTTGGGAGTCTGTAAAGGACGCATATAAAATACTTTGTGTCGATGTTTTAAACGAGAGTTCAAACTTAAGAATCATAGCAATATATAGGACGCCATCATGTGCCATCATAAATACTAAGCATTTGATTGAAGTCCTCAGCGATCCCATGGCTTGCGAGCGTCAAATAGTGATTGTCGGAGGTTTCAACATGTCGGAATTGTATCACAACACTAATATGTACGTTTTCTGATGAGTCTAGTTCTTCGCCTTTTCGTGAGTTGCTTCACACACAGTCACAATCAATGCAACATGTTACAGAACCGACTAGACTATGTTAGATCATAAACCTGGTTCTCAGCAGCAAGCCTGATTCAGTTAGCAATCTGAGAATACTTCCTCCACTTAAGTGCAGGAATAATAGCAACATTATCTTCGAAATCATCGGATATGACAGCATGGCATGAAACACTTTTTAGAAAGTATATTCTGCATGTAACTTTGCAGCTTTACGAACTGACCTTTCTCGTATACGCTGGGTTGGCTTACTTGAGAGCCGTGGTAGTGTCAATGATGAGTATTATTTGTTAAAAGTACTGCACACTGCCATTGATTACTAATGTCTTGGGAGAGGAAGACCTCGTTTAAGTCTATTCCTTTACCACGTTATTTAAGAAACATAAGTGAGCATCGAGATGGCCTCTTCATGAAGCAAGGCGAACTGGCAAGTGGTCTGGGTATGATGGATTCACAAGGGTTTTCCTTACACGCCTTAGTGCCTCATTAAGTACGTCAATAACATTGAGAAGAGGATTGCAGGGCCAGGAGATTCAAACTTCTGCAAGTATACAAATAGAAAATTGCATGACAAAAGATGAACCGAGCTTCTGAAATGTGAGAATCTTATGGCATATGGCCCTAAGCTAATATGTGTGCTGATCGGTTCTCAAAGCTTCACACTGTTGGCGATTCATGGACAATACTTCAGAATCGGACGGACTCGAACCCATACTTGTGCTTTCCGGGCATCGTGCTCCATCCCTTACACTACCGAGACCCCGCTTGCCCTCGCCTTCTTAAGAGCTTATTAACACTCATAAGGGCAACGTGTTGAGCCGGTCGGTCAATAGCAGCACAGAACCGTTAAGCTGTAACCTTTATATGATGGATCTTGTTTCGACTTGATGTTTTGTTAACTGCTACTATATCGCCGCAGTACGCGTTGCCCAAGGCTCACAAGGCTGGCCGAAGTCTCACAAGGCTTCATGGGCAAATCTTCAGCCTCGGACCAGACACGAACCCGTACTTCTTCTTTCCAGAGCTTTACAAGTTCTATCATGTGAAGATTGCAGCTTAACGGTTCTGTGCTGATAGTGGGCCAACCGGCTCAACAAGTTGTACCTGTGAGTGCTGATAAGCTATCCTTCTTATATATAAAGCAGTAACTTGGTTTGTCGGTTTGTCGGTATGTCAGTCTGTCCGTCCAGGTTACTTTGTGATTGTGATAAAGGTAGTGATATGGAAAACTTATCCTTCTTATATATAAAACAGTCACTTTGCGTGTAGGTTAATGGAGTAAAGTAAGCACTGCGGAGTGAAGTAAGTAATATGGAGTGAAGTGGGTGTTTCAAGCTGTGTTTTCTACTGTACTGTACTGGCAGCACTTCGACACTGTTACTTCGATCGGAAGTGGCATGGTACTATTTTGTCCACGCAGTATTTGGAATTTGGCTACCACATTCATTTCCCTTCTTCATTGCCTACCCTTCTCATACCAGTCTAACAAACCGCAGTGAAATTCCCCTCTACCCTACCCGTCGCTTTCTTTTGAATTTATTTAGCGCATGAGCGTAAACAACACCACATATTAGTTACATTGGTTGTGTTTTTGCTGAGCTCTCCTTCATCAATATTGCTCCTTCCCTTCCAGCGTTTTAGAAAAGAGAAATACCATCTGCTCCGGATCAACACCGCTGATAGTCAAGCTGTTTTTTTTTGTTAGCTTTACTTGCACAGCGTCTTCTCTCCAACTGACCAACCTATTTGGTCAACCGGAAACTTCGAATGGTTCTTATTACTGTTCTTAACTGTTGATAACACCACTACCAAAGCCCATGACCCATCCTGCTGATTTCCACATTTTGTGGTCGGGTTGATTTTGTTGCAACGGATATCTAAATGAAGAGAAAACGGGATACCTTAACGAGTCATAAACATCCTTCTTTATATAGTTCGCTAAGTTATCTGGCCGGAAATTCATAAGCCCTGTCCCCATGGACCTAGAGCGTTCAAATTTGGTAGAAGTAGGGGGGGGGGCAGAAGATGAGCACTTATGGTTGGTGGCAGGGCCGGACTCCGTTTACAGGGGACGGGACGTGCACGATAAAAGTTTTAGGTGGCAAATTCATAACTTCTGTCCCCGTTTACTTAGAGCATTGAAACTTGGTAGGAGCACAGGCGACAGGACGGGATCACCGATGATATGTAAAAGAGGTGATAACCATTGGAAGGAGTCGGTAAAGCACCTCAGAAGGCGAGAGCCGCAGGATCCGCTATGTCCTTCGTACTAACGGTGGAGCATTGGTATATTAGTAATTAATGCGGATTAAGAAGGGACCATAGATGTTAAGTGATAATGATTGATAACAACTGTTAGAAATACCGAGCCATAGAAGACGAGAGTCATTAGATCTGCAACATCTCTTTCATATTAACGGTGGAATACTTTAATAGGTGATGTAAAATACGAAGGGACCGAGGGTGATTGGTGACAGGGACTGATAACAAACGAGCAAGGGTTGACAAAGAGCCCATGTGGAAGGCTATACAAATAGTTTCGTTATCCCCTTCATGTCAACAGCCATACCTTGGTATTCAAACATTGTTCTTTTATATTTTTCATTCAATAAGACAGGTAGATGCAGTGATAGAAACTGACCGAAGGTAATTCTCCATAACGATGTGAAAATTTGGTTTATTTTTCGCTGTTGGACTGCGACCGCTATCCAGCAAGGTTTCTGTCCCAATGACACATCAAGATTTCTTTTTTTTCGATATCTTTTGTACTAAACTCATTCTACCGCCAATGATCTGGGATTCCCAATTAGTGATAAATCCGTAGGGAAGAAATATTCGCTGATGACCAAATCTGATAATGCGCGGCATTATCACTCGACAACATTTGTGAGTACCATTCAAGACTTTAATTGCCAGTCAGTTAAGCCATCATCG